GTAAAAAATATGGCATTTTGGATAATGTTTTTAAAACTTTTTTTTTTTTTTTTTTTTTTTTAACGATCTATTTGCATGAAGTCTCATTCCATATGCAGCCTTTTTTGCTTGTAATCTAAAAATCTCACATTTAATGCAACAACAAAACTTTAGAAGAGTCAGGGTCATGTCAAACTGGTGCAAGTAGCTTATTACTTACAACCTTAAGTTAATAACTTCCTGGCTCAGAATGTTGTCAAATATCACTTGCTAGCAGGAGTGATATCTCATTGGTCCAAATAGTGGGGGAGCGAGTCCAGAGGAAAACATAAGCTGTTTTGTTAGCTATTTTATCACTGACCGGTTGTTGGGGATCACTCAGGTGACATTGGACCAAGCTTGTAAAATGTACAAATCGTATAACTTTTTTTTTTTTTACAGTAAACCCCTGTATAATAACTCAAAGTATATGCTCATTGACGACCAATACACCATAGCCTTCTGTGTTCTTGTTACCAGCATGCAGTGTAACTGCACGTTTTACCAACTTTCTTGCAAGTTCTTATATGCTAAGCATATATTTACGACCTATTCATTATTCAGTGTACATTAAGATATTAGAAGCTTTAGTTGGTATTCAGAAAATTTCAGAACGTACATAAAGTATTGACCAATATGGGGCATACAAGGCAGCAAATCAAAAATACACCAGATATTTAAGTCTTGTGATTCAGTGCATCCTATATGGAGTGAACAAGCCCAACTAATATTGTTTGGCATAAACTGAATTTTCTTGAGCTCTAAACGCAGGCTGCTGGTAATAAGCACTTGAAAGAGGCATAGGAGAGCCGTGTCTATGAGAAGATTAGTTAAATAGACAAACCCTAACATGCCCTCCCCATGCAATGAGTGTTGCCTTTCCTTTTAACATCCTGTGTAGGTATTTTGTCTTTTTTTTTTTTAAATAATGAACATGGTTTGTATAGTTTACTTTTTGGCCTTGCGTTATGAAACTTGTGCGAGAGGCTGTCGTTTGCAAACCTTACAAATAATAAAATGCATATTTTTTTCTTTTATGCTATTGACATTTACATTGTATTATCATATTTGCTTTCAGCAATATGCCGTCAAGGCTGTAGTCCAAAGCATGGGACTTGTAAGATTCCTGGAGAATGCCGGTAAGTGGTTGAGAACTTTGGATGTTTTACCGATTTAACATTTGGTACCACTTGAATTTAGATCATTGTGAATGCAGCCCTTCAAATTGTGTGTTGGCTTGCTGGCCAGTGTGGTTTTACAAGGGTTAACACTTCTGTCTCCATCCCCCACACCAAGTCTATCAATAGGCAAAAAAGTGAGGCATTCTTTAGAATGGGATTAGTGAAATCTCTGGGTCCCTTAGCTCTTGTGAGCCAGCGTTTGAGTGCTGAGAGGTTAATAGCTGAGATGGAATCTTGTCAGCAGACACTGTTTGTTGTCGGGCTTTGAAGTCGTTCGTGTTCTGGCTCTGATACAATGGAGAGCAGGTTTTATACATACCCCAACAATTTCATCATTAAAATTTTGGGACAACGTGGAATTGCAGATTTTCTTTCATCTAGTTATTATTCCTATGTTAAAACTCAGGCTTAGTGTTCCATAAAGGGAAGTTCGATCTCTGTTTACACAAAACCATCATTTGAAAATGTATCTAAATACAATTTTTTTACAAAATTGATTTCTAGTGGCAGGGCAGGCACAAAATATGCAGGTCAATAGGAGTTAATGGCATTCTTTACCACAATCCTGTGATGTGGATGGGATGAGTACGCAATAGCCCATGGCATTTATATGAACAGATCAAGGCTGAGGTTGGGGATATGGGTAAGAAGGGAGCACATACCATATGTGTTCAAATCACAGGGCATACAAGGGGACAGGTAGGCGACACAGTAAGTTACACTTGGGCAACTAATGTGGTGTTGTCACCTACCTTCATGTGCATAGCCATTGGCAGGTGTTGATAAAGCCTAAATGTTGGAGACTGTAAACAAAGATCCATCAAGGGCACCATTATGGTATATGTGGCATCAAAAAGATGACCTTGGCCTTGCATAGCAAAATAATTTTTTATTTTTTTGTCAAAAACTGGTTTTATTTGGGATATGTGACCCACTGAGCTATGCATCCTACAACTTGTAGCACATTGGAAGCGTGTGGGCTACTGGATTGATCCATTTTGTGGGATCCAAGTTGGAATGATAATGAAACCTATTTAAAAGTGAGCACCACCTTATGTACAGTTTCATGTTGTAAGGCATGGCTGGTAAATTGGAAACTTTGTCAATGTTATTTGTTTTGTTTGATTTTATATCTAGGCAGACCTTAGAAGTATGTATTGCAGTGGTTCAAATACGAGGAGGGTTTACATGTTGCCATAAGGGTCTGTCTACAGTTGTCTAGAGTTGTCCATGAAATGTCCACACAGACCACATTAAATTGATGAAGTTGTGCTACTTTATTGATTGCTTGCTGTGTTATTGCGGAATTGTTGACAATATTTCTACTGGAGGTCAGAAGAGGGAGCTGTTTGTTGGTGGCTTCAATCAACCAGTGCTATTTTATATCCATTGAGGACCCCAATGCTGTGAGGTCATTTCCTTGCCTATAATAGTGAAAATCTCACTCCTGCTGCTCCACTCCTTTTGTAGTTTGATATGTCATGAGTGGGCAGACCTATGTGCCGAGATGTCTCTTCCAGACAAACAAAAGATGCCAGTGATTTTCAGCCACCAGTTACTATTTAACGCTCTTACTCTTGGTGGGTGGCATGTAGGTTGTCATTGTTAACATTGCCGACACAATGCTATTTGCCTGGTTGTCAAGCTGATCTGTGAAAATGAGATGGACCAAGTATTCAGGCCTGGAGCTCATACTAATCTGCATGCTTGTTCTGGGCCACTGACACTGAAAATATTGGGGGGGGGGAACAGCCTGGCAACTAGTATTTTCAGGTCAGGAATGACTATGCTTTTTATCTTGGCACAACTTCTCTGTATTAGATCATGGCCTTCTTACTAGCTGGTACCAAGACTAATTATTTTTGCACTTGTCCCCAAAATAAACATGCCTTGCTGGGTCCCTGCTGGAACAACAGGCTTTGTTTTGAGTTTTAAGGCCTTTCTCTCTTTGTACATCTCACCTCCCACTCAATGCCCAGACATGCACTACTGCTCATATTTGCTTAAGGTGCAACTTTCCCACACACCATTAGCATATAAAAAAAAAAAAAGAGCTTGTCTTTGAGAAGCCGTAACAATAAGAGTTGTGTGATTGGATCGTAAAGCAAAATTACAGGCTTATAATGGAGATAGATGTTGCTGGTTGTGGTATGTGTTTCTCGAAGACAAAACCAGGGTGGTAACCTCGCTAATGACTTTCACTTTTCTATACATCTTACTGCAGTTGTCTGTATGCAAATATTACCTTTTGTGTGACCAGGCAAAGAATAAAGATGTCAGGGTGTGATTCTGCGCTACAAGAACTGGATATTTTGAAGCCTCATCTCTAAACCCTTTAACATGCTGTTGTGGTTTTTTTTTTTGCGGTAACTACATTGATTATCTGATTCAGCAGTAAATAGTGGTAATTAAAGGGTGAACCTATTCAAACTACTTTAGCTTTGGGTAGCATGCCACAAGGTTGGTGTCAGCTTCTTAACCTTCCACCTGCTCTGGCCTTTACAAAGGATCTTATCCTAAAGGCCTAGTCACACTCTTGATGCAGCAAAACACTTGCATTTTTCTACATGAAAAGGCATGTCATTCTTTCCTGTGGCTCTTCACATCTATGCACTGCAGTTTAGTGTGAAAGACAAGGCAAAACTCTACTGGCTACACATGTGCATTACCATGAGTGTTGCATGCACATAAGGTTGGTTTTACACTTGTCTAGGTCGGGTATACACACTCTTATTTTCTTAGTTCAACCTGCGGGCTGAAAAGATTCCTCCATCCACGCTGCATGGATGGAGGAATCCTCGCTGCGAGCATTGTATTCTGACAGCAGTCGCTGTCTGAATACCCACACAGAGCCTGGAGCTGATTAGGTGCAAGCACAGTTCAGCCAGTGGAATAGGGTACACACTGAGCGATTCGTGTGTACCCGGCTTTAGACAAATCTACCTGATGAAATCTGAATACAAAATCTCTTTCAGTTTCCAGTATCTCCTCTCAGGGCTTAAAGTGTATATACATTTTGTGGTTTTTGGGTTTTTTTTTGGGGGGGGGGGGGAATAGAGCAGGGAGGGGTTATTACCTCAGCCAAGTTAGTGTGCTGCCTGTGTGATATTAGGGAAAGTTATTTGTCATTTGTGCCCCAGAGACGTATCAAAGGTAGAGGAGATCTCCCACAGAGAGCCAAATTCCCCTCTCAGACAGTTGTCCTCGAACAGGTGTCCCCGATGAAAGATTTCACTACCTCCTGAGGACACCGCAAAAATTTTGGATTTCGCCTCTATTTGTACTGGTGACCATTGTCACCAAGAATGAAAGAGGGGTAAATCTTCCCAATGGGGACTCAGACAGCAATAAAAACTTGACCGAGAGTCTAACTCTTCCCCACTGCTATAACAATGCAATAAAAGGGGCAATCTCTATCCTAAACCATAAAAAAGGGGCTTTAGATTCACTATAACAGGGTTAGGCAACTTGCACTCCAGCTATACAGAATCCAGTATAGTTTTAAACAGGCTGTACATTAGCGTTTGGCATTCTAAAGACCATTTTTCTGGAATAGTAAAGCATCTGGGTGCTTCCTGGGCTCCTGCTTTATGTAGCATAGTTGGCTGTTTTCCTTGGCACTGCGTTATAGAAACAACTAACCATATCTAAAGCTGCTGTGCTGATTAATCGTCTTTGCTGATTAAACATACTCGGTATGCCCTTATCCAATGTACTTCGGCTTCTAATGGATGCAAATATCTGCATTACTGCTCACAATCTTCTGAAGTCTATGCATTCCTTCGTACTTTCTTCATTCTTTACAATCCAGCAACTATGAGAAATGTGACTAAAAAGTTTCTTGACATATTAAAAAGAAGAAACCATCTCCGCCTGGTCCAGGCCATTTACACTTAAGCGGCCCATTTGCAGTGTGCTGATGCACAAGCCCTAATGCAGGTTGTTCTAAGGCCGCTAATTCATTATGAATGGGTTGCCAATGCATAAAAATAGTACATGATCCTTTGAAAACTAAACACACTACAATGCACAATATATGCGTTGTGGTGTACTGCAGTGTGTTGGAGTCTACAGCGTTTTGGGGTACTTTTCACAATGAATGGCAATGCCACACACTGCACATAGAGCAAGTGTGTTATCCATGTGTTGTGGTAACCCGTGTTACCACAATGCACAAGTGTGAGTGGGCCCTTAACTTTTTCCCCTCAATGGGTAATGTAAAATTTACTGTTTGGAATAAAAATTGAGTGGGTCATGCATGTAAGAGACTTTATAAGGAGCAACTATGAAAGCTGCAAAGATGTTGTCGCAAACCAAGCACTTTCAATATTTACATTGTTCACATTTGGTCTACAGTTGGCAAACTAGATTATAAGAGGAAGGCACACAACTTTGCATCATATTGGTGTGCACAAAGGCTTCATATTTTTTGTCCCTTTTCTATAAGTAGGTAATATAAAACACAAACAGAGTTGAGCTTCTTACATAGGGCTCAATTCACAAAGCTTTCACACAAGGTTCAGGATCTTTATTTTAGCCATGTGACTAATGTTCAAATCTCTTTGGACTCTTGTTGGACTGTCCGTTCACGTGGTTAATTGAGCTCATTGTGTCGTATGTGTGCCTGGTTAGCGTTGGTCATTTTTTATTTTTTTTGCTTGTTGACTGGAGATGGTCTATAGGTTAAATGCTTTGTGCCTTAGCAAATTTTTATTTTCAGCTTCCAATATATTTGCCTCCAATACTGATCTGCTGGGTTTGTGTTGGTTAAATGGCCTTGCATTTTCCCTCCTTCTAACATACTAGCTTTCCCATGATTTGGATTTGCAGCGGCAGATCTCTATTTGAAGTCTGAATGACCTCTATCTAATGGTTTATTTTTATAATTTTGAAGTCTGTTTCAGGGGGATAAGTTTGGTCTTGGGCATTTTTGGAGTGTTTAGCTTTAGAATCTGCACTGCAATATTGAAGCCCCCTCTAGCCTTTTAAGAGTTGTGCGTCTGTTTCCTATCTCCACTGCTTACTTCATGTGGTTCTGATTTCTCTTCTTTTTTTTATTTCGTGACGGCTTCCCCTCAGTTCTTGCGGATATAATCAATTTTACATACAAACAGTTTCTGAGTCTGAACTTTTTTAAAGGATCACTAAACATAAAACAGAGTAACTTTCCAAGAGCATTCCCAAATACACAAGTGTCCATATAAACAGGAAATTAAAGATTTACATTTATTTTCTATGGATGTTGGCTGACATTTTAGGATAAGAAGCTGAAAGCTGGCAGTTTTGTGGGAATACTAGCCAAGAAGTTGGCTTTGTGTTGGAAATTATTGCTGCTCCTGTTTCTCTTTTTAAAAAGATTTTATTTCTTACATTGCCCTGAAATTTCTATGAATGTTTTTTTTTAGCTTGCTTAGATGGCAGCAGGTTGTCTTTTTGAATAGCACTATATTCTTGCAGTGGTGAGGTCTAGATTCAGTTTTCCACTGATGGTAAAAATTACTGTTTTTCATGAGTTATAATATTTTGCATGCTTCAGTTTCCACCCTCAATCCACATAATTGCTTTAAAATGACACTAAACTCAGGAGTTAAATCTTAAGATATAGTTTTGCCAATAGTTAAGGTACTTGAATGTATTTTTATTTGTGTATCACTCAGCTGTAGATCCTAAAATCATCTCTGAATTGGTGCTGACACTGTGCTTCCTTAGTTCCCATGATCCCTGTGTGTGTTGTAAAGTAGCCACTGCTCCAAGCTCGCTTCAGTTCATCTACACTTCCTGTGCCAGACACAGAAGGAAGTGGGAGCAGATCTCCCCAAAGTGAGGAGATATCCCCTCTTAGATAGTGTTCAACAAAATTTAGAATCTCCCCTAACCTTGTCCCAGTGTTAATTCACAAATTCATAAAAGGAAATTGGATTCCATGTAGCAGAGGCAGTAGTCGGCAAGACTAATAGGGTGAATTTTCCCAACATGGATGCAAACATCAATAGAAACCTGACCGAGAATATGACCGGGTTAGAACCTATCTAAACCAAAAAAAGTTATGTCTTTACATATATTTGAATAATTTTGCGGTCCAAATTTGGCCAAATGTGTGAGGTTGGTAGAGGAGATGGGACTGTAAGCTCTACTTGGCCAGGATGTGACATGAATGGCTCAGCCTGTCCTACAAAGTGCTGATGAATATGTAGGCACTATATAAAATAATGTTTAGTGGCCTTTGAACACCGTCCTTGTACAAGAGATCCCCACCAAAAATGTGTACACATACAAGCGTGCAGTACATCTCCTGCTTTAGAGGCTGCGAGGGGAACAGGAAGGCAGCATTTTCATTGTTCCGTGGGACTTTTTTTTTTTTTTTTAACGTGGAATTGATTGTCCAGTCTGACATCGCCAAGAGATTGATTTGTAGAGCACAGCCACCCTCCCTGTCTCATTTGAATGATCGCAGAATAGAGTATTATTGTGCTCAGTGGCACCATGCAGGGTCTCTCAAAACAGTGATTCTTTTGTGAAGAGATTGGCTTGGGGACTTTGGCAAAACTACTGGTAGGTTTGTTTATAAGAAAACACCCAATACACCCTCAAGGAATGTATTTCATTTTTCTTCACGAGGGATGGATTCCTCTGCGCCGAAGGCGATTTGTGTAAACCTTTTCATTACTTATCTTTTCTTCTTCCCAAATGCAGATGCCAGTATGGATGGCAGGGGCAGTACTGCGACAAGTGCATTCCTCACCCGGGATGTGTCCATGGCACTTGCACTGAACCATGGCAGTGTCTGTGTGAAACGAATTGGGGTGGTCAGCTCTGCGACAAAGGTATGCTAATCGTACAGCAGACTCTACTCCAGGGAAGCCTTTTGTTTCTTGTTATGTAAAGTTGTGTTATTCATCACATTCCTTCACTTATTGGGTTGGTGTACAAGATCTGAAGGAAAGGAATGTGTCTGTGTTGCCCATAGCAACCAGTCATATTCTGTTTTGGCGTTTGTCCGATGCTAGTTGCATCATTACCTGTAGAATCCCTAAACCACAGCAGAAACCTGTGGCAGATTGGTTACAAGTCGTGGTAAAGCAGTATAGGGTGGGAGTCATGCCCAAGATCAGCCACAGCAGAATTTTTGACCAGCTAGGGTTAAGCTTAAGCCCATTGGAGCTCCTGTGATTTTATTATTGTGATTTTTTTTTTTTTTTTTTCACATGATTTAGTGCTGGCAGTACATAGTCGGGCCATGACTGACTCTTCCAGACAATGCAGCCTAACTGCTCCATCAACAGCACTGCCTAATCGGCAAGAGTGCTGTCGATGGGAGCAACTTTCTGGGGGCGCATCGGACTACTGGAGAGCCCAGGCCACTAATTGTGTGAGAAAGACACGGCCTGATGTTCCTGCCTCAGACTTTGTGCTCATCGCATGAGTTCCAACAAACAGCTGCTTTTACAATACTTTTGGCAGTTCCACACGCAGCAGTGCTTAGCTTTGAGTACAGTCTAAAAATCTTATGAACAAGAACCCCAAATTATAAATTTTTATAATCGAGTAATGCTGGTGTTTAGAAATTTACAAGTGAAAATGAAATGCACCCTTTTCTGAGTGTCCCATTCTTATTGGCAGATTTGAACTCCTGTGGAACATATCAGCCCTGCCTGAATGGAGGCACCTGCAGCAACACCGGCCCTGACAAATACCAGTGTTCCTGTCCGGAGGGCTACTCGGGGCAAAACTGCGAAATAGGTCAGTCTTGGAGTGTTTCCGTGTTAGTCTCTCAATGTGAATGGTAATTGTGCGCTTGGCACACAGTTGTTGTCTGTCTAAAGAAGAAACAAAAAAAATGCAGTAGTTATATGTATCATGTGTTTTACATGCCAGCTTCAGGGGTTGTTACTTTCACTAGACTAGACTTGGAGTTGAATGTAGATGCTATGAGTTAGACTGATGTAAGTTGTCCCTCAAATATGATAAATGAGGCTGACTGTTTGCAATGATTGGTTTCCTCCATAGTTCACATAAGCAAATAGGCCTTATAGGCACGAGGCATGAATATTACGAGACCTAGAGTCTTGAAAGCTTATCCCATAAAAAGGTATCATGTTAACCCCACATTTTCTAATTTTATTAGCTAGTGTTGCGTCTTGTATATGTCTTTCTGATTCGACAGTATGTTAACTGCTGCTGTGCCCCCTCCTCGACCTGATTGTGTGACAGTGCTTTCTTCAGAGTCTATGGGAATCTGTTAGTCCTGGCTCTGAGTCAAGCTGATCTAAGCTATGGCACATTGATCAGGTCAGCTTAGCATGAAAGATTATTTCCTTCTTGTTTGAAGTTGTGTTAAACCAAGCACTGTTAATGAGAATAAGATATAGCAACATTAGTGCTGGTCACATCTTATGCAGCAAGGTGGTCTAATAGGACACAACTTTTCTTTTTTCTTTCCCAGCATCATTCACATTAATAGTTACACGTTTGTAATTTTTGTAGGTCATTAATGCAATCTAATATTTTTTTAATACAGCTGAACACGCCTGTCTGTCTGATCCTTGCCACAATGCTGGTAGCTGCATGGAAACCACGGGAGGCTTTGAATGCAGCTGTGCTCCAGGCTGGACAGGACCAACCTGCACCATCAGTATGTACCCATTTAAAAAAAAGAGAATTGTTGAATTAAATAACATGCAATCTGCCCTATCAATCTAAATAACCCTAACTCATCACAGTACAATAAAATGTTATTATTGTCTGAACTGACCTTTTGTGAGCTAAAATCTATTTGGTCAGTATGGATTACTTCATTGTAACTCTTTGCACTACCTCCATTAAATATGCCTTTTGTGTGTTTTGGTTGATCTATAAATAAATTTACTTTTTCTTTAGACATTGACGACTGCTCTCCAAACCCATGTGGGCATGGGGGTACCTGCCAGGATCTGGTAGATGGATTTAAATGCGTTTGTCCTTCCCAGTGGACTGGCAAGACGTGCCAAATAGGTAAAGACTATAACTATATCAACCTTTTTTTTAGTCTTCAAAGGCTGGCAACTTTCTTTTATTCCATATTAGGCTGGATATATGTTCTGTGTAGAAAAATCCCCCCTTAATTTTATATGCTCAGCTTTGTTTATGTTTAGGGTTGTCAGCCAATTATTTTGGTTTACACTTATATCTTGGAGTGTTAATACATTGCGTTTTGCACTTTTCAAATGTTTCCCAACGTTGGGATGCTTAACTTTTTTTTCCATTACACTTTTTATTTATTATTGCACTTACAAAAATTCTGTTTAATGTAGATTTTGCTGGTCTTAACCTTAATGGCACAACTATATCTTGCTTTTGTTTTCTGTTTGTTTTGATGCTTTGGTATTTTACTTTATAACTATTGCATTCTTCCCGGAGTTTTTTCCAACCCCAGTGTTTTTTTTTTTTTTTATTGGCCATAAAACTAACTCCCATGCTTTGGGGATGATGGGGTTCTAGTTAGAGTGCTGCTAGCCATGGCAGGTTGAGATCCAGTATTAACCATAGATACATAGATAAATTAGTATGTTTAAACTAAGAAGCGCATTCTGGAAAAAGCATTTAACATGAGCCCATGCTCTCCCCTGCTTGGTCCTGTGGGAAAGTTGCTGTATCTTTTCAGCCGTGTCAACTCCCACAGACCAAGGAGTTTACAGCTGGGTTCCAAAATGTGGATGATCTCATGAAGAATGACTTGTCTGCATTCTTTATGAAACGCTCTAATCTGGCTGACAATAGTGAAGGAAGTTCCCCTCTGCAATGCTCAATTGCCTCTTACTGTTCTTAATGAGCAATCGGGCAAATACCAGCAAATTAAAGGAGCTGTTTTTTAAGTCTGCCAAAAAGTCTCACCTTTACAGGCAAATGTGAGCATGTTTCTCTTCTCTATGTAATTCAGGCTAGGAAGAAGCCGGTTCAAAGGTTACTCTTCCATATATTCATAGGAAATTAGGATGGAGGCACACAATAAGCACTAGGATTACTGGAGCCGTATATGTATGTATTGGTCTGGGAAAATAAACTCTCAAAGCTTATTTTTTTTTTTGGGGTTTATTTTCTTCCTCTCACGGACTTGGGAACATGTTGAAGACCCTCACCATATGTGAGTACATACTGTACATTGAGCTGTATGCTTTAGCTTTTTATTACAGTACATTGGTGAAAGATTCTGCGGGAGAATGAATAGATAATCGTCTTTTTTGAGTGTTTATCCAAGTAGAAGCAAAAAAAGAGGTGGTGTTGCTCATAACAAGTTATCTTAACTAGAAACAAAATTCAAAGTGTAGACATGGGGAAACTCCTTCAGTTTACCTTTTATCGAATTCTGAGGTGACAATCCCATGTTAACTGTGTTTAACATAGGTTGAAAAAACATCTAGTTTAACCAAAAGAGAATAAAAAAAACCCTCCATAAAGAAAATCGTATAGCTACAGGTGATTCAGAAGAACACATAAAAACCCTATAAAGCATGGTCAAATTTGCTCCAATAGGGGGAAACAACATTTCTTTAAACCCCTAAGGCAATCTCTTATTCCTTGGATCGACAGTCCAGTATTATCACTTATGTTAACATCCAGTTACATTCTGTGATATTATTTTTTTGTATTCAAGTTTTATCTGTTAAGTAACAGGCCTGAAAATACTTTTTGCATTGCAGCAATTTCAGTCTACATTTTCTTTCAGTCAAGTCGTTCTTGCCGTCTATTTCCCAAATTTGACAAATTAGCTCTCACTTTTTGCCCTAGTGACAATTGGCTTTTTTATGGAAATTGGAGATTTAACACAGTTTGGAGATCTACATTTGTCTCTGGAACAGCAGTAGGGGAATATCTTCCAATAGGGACACACATCTCAGTGGCCAGGGTTGAGTTTTTAACTTTTGCCTACTCTGTCCAAAACTAGAAAAGTTTTGGCTGGAGTTACTCTTTGAGTTAGAGACCAGATCCACTATGACGCTACAGATATTTTTTTAAGGCTGCAAGCTGAGAAATCTGAAAAGACTACACTGGGAGATGTGGCCAAATTTTACAACAGCTGGAGTGTTATTTGTTTGAAGTTTAGACAACTAACCAATCTTTCTTTTTTCTCTTGTTAGATGCAAATGAATGTGAAGTCAAACCCTGTGTGAATGCAAATTCTTGCAGAAACCTCATCGGCAGCTACTATTGTGACTGCATGCCTGGTTGGAGTGGTCAAAATTGCGACATCAGTAAGTAATGCTTCCTAATGACCTCTTGTCAGCATGGAGGCTTGTGCTGTGTGATCACTGTTTGCTGAGCTAGTACTGCTTCTTAAACTTTGTAAAGCACATCTAATTGCCTATGAGTGACCCATGATCTATACACATTCATGCCACCAAGAAAGCAAACCACATCTGTAATAAGACGGGGCATGTCCATGGTGCAGGTCCCTTCCTATCCATGTAAATGTGTACTTGTAGTGCCGTCTTGGATACAGATAACTAGATACAGGGCACGTTTAGCTAATGGGCCTTATTGATGGCTGCAATAATGGACATAACTGCCTACAAACCCATATTCGTTTCCTCTATACAGAAGATAAACCTAGACCTATTTTAAGACTAATCTCTACGCCCCTCCCCTCCAAACAAAAAAACTAAACCTCTAAATCAGTTGATATAATTTAAGGAAAAAGGGAGTTGGCTGCTTGGAAAGAAAATATACAATTTTATCAAACTTATTAGTCTGTAGTATGGTCACTTTCTGATAACATGGCGAAAACAATGATGTGAAGTTTTTAGCAAGCTCCTGGAAGAATTGCTTCAAGGTCCCCACCCTTTAAAATAACCTTATCTAAAGGAAAGGATGCAGGAAACTTAACAAAAGCTCTATCTAACTGCAGTTGTCGAGATTTACGTTTTTTCTTTTTTTCAGCATCATTGCAAGTGCGTATAGTTTTAAATGATCTACAATCTCAAGTGTCTTTTGTGTAGTATTTATATAGTTTCTGCTCTTGTCTGTCCCTCTAGATATCAACGATTGCATTGACCAGTGCCAAAATGGGGGAACTTGCAGGGTATGTAGAGATATATATATATATATATTTTTTTTTATGTTCATTCAAGACTTTTTAAAATTTTTGGTTGATACCAATGAATTGAACCATTGGATTGCCTTATTTTATCTCTTGGGGAATCCACCAGTAAGACATCTCAGATGGGGTTCACAACTAAATCTAAAGTCTTGCTTCTCCTCCTGTTTCTGTAAAGCAAACATGCAATAATTGAAACATGGATGCTGCTTTTGCTGACCTCCTTTTTCTTAAAATGCTAGCTGCTTGGCTGTAATGCTTAGCAACCCGTCTCGATACTTTGTCACTGACCTAGAATGAGGATAGCAATTCGGGAATGCCGATTTTAATCAGATTTTAATCAGATTTTATGTGATCTGCATAGTCACTCTGGATCAGTGACTCAAAGTGTATAGAAGCCAGAGAATCGGCATAACAGCCAGGCAAGCAGACGTTTAAGAAAGTCTGCAGTCATCTTTTCTCTTTTTTTGTTTAATTTATAAACCGTAGGTAAGCTTAAGGTGTTGGTAATGACTGTGGAAGGTGGGCCTACTTGGAAACTCAGTTGCAGAGATCTCTGTTGGATATTATGAGAGATTAAATACGCCAGGATCCACTAGCAAATGAAATGTTGTGGGTGGAATGTGCCTTTTAAGATGGCTTTTAATAAAAACTATGGAGAACAATTCATGTAAATGCATACCAAAAAAAAAAATCTCACCAGATCCTATCAACTTGAAAGTACATTGTTTATGCTACGTAGAAATATCCTATGCACTTTGCTATGAGACCTCCCATAAGTTTTTTTTTTTTTTTTTCTTTTGTGGGAGAAAGTTTTATCCTAAATTTAATTTGGAGGCCTTGCGTACTTTTATACCCACATTTTCTCATCTGAACAGATGTTTTTGTCGATTCTAAGTAAACAGCATTCCTTTTGTTTCAACCTTTGTCAACTGCAGGACTTGGTTAATGGCTTTCGCTGTATCTGTCCGCCCGGCTATGCAGGGGAGCGCTGTGAGAAAGACGTCAATGAATGTGCCAGCAACCCTTGTATGAATGGGGGTCACTGCCAGGATGAAATCAATGGATTTCAATGTCTGTGTCCCGCTGGTTTCTCTGGAAACCTGTGTCAGGTGAGCACTGGTGAAATGCAAACCTTCCTGGATTGTTCAAAGACCAACAGCCCCCCCCATACCCCTCCCTCTTTTTCTAATGATTTGTACACTAAATACCTTATGTTCAGTGAGGCTTGCTATATAGTCATACTCCTTACAGCTGTCTGCCAATAAAGTGTTGGTCTGAGGAAGAGGGGGGGGAGGGGGGGGGTCGAGCCGGAGAAATCGAATCTATTAAGTTAAACAGATCACAAATGTTTTCGTGTTAAAGTTTGTTATATGCTCCTAGCTGGCCTTTGGTGACTGTTTTATATCCTGGATGTGTCTCCTCAGATCTAGGCAGTGTAAAGCTGTACATTCTGCTTTAAGTAAAATTAATGGAGGCAGCTAGATGAAAAGGTCAGATTCCAGAGTCTCTGTTCTCTTTAGCATTGAATAGGGTAATAATAAAACCTTTTGTTTTCTTCTGCTTTCCCCTCCAACATTTACAGTTGGACATAGATTACTGCAAGCCCAACCCTTGCCAGAACGGAGCCCAGTGCTTTAATCTCGCCACAGATTACTTCTGTAACTGCTCCGAGGACTACGAGGGAAAGAACTGCTCACAACTAAAAGATCACTGCCGCACTACTCCCTGCGAAGGTATGTGTGCCGCTGCTTGACACATGCTGGGCTCTCAGCAAACACTCATGGGTGCAACGACTGTGGAAGCGCTAGTGAACCACACAGGGTGATAATAAAATCCAGCTGTGCCCCAAGCAGTTAAGTGATTAGAGTGCAGTAAGGTTTTGGTGGTGGAGCGGAGGTCAAGCGAGCAGCGGCAATTAAGTGCGTGCTGTGTTTTTTATTAGTTATTTTGGGCTTGGGTATTAAAAAAAAAAATCATCCTGTGTTTTAAAGTTTTTAAAAAATCTTTATTGAAAAAGACAACATGCATGATCTCACAATTACTTTAGGGGTTTTACACTTTAGCAGCACCTCCACAGCTGGAACTTGATAAAGTACAAAACTCTTGATAACATGGCTTAAAAATCATATTGTTAGTGCAGATTAAAAAAAACAATCCTACATTTGTTGGTTAAAATATGAGAATCACTTTCACATTTTCACTCCTAGGGTTGCATTGCATGTCAACATATTGGTTTTATAAGTTGACCTTTTAGTTGTCAATTTATCAAGCCGCCTTTTTTTAAGCAAGGCATAGAAATTAGCATAGACGCAATGTCATTAAGTAACACACAAGTAATGTACAATAAAACAGGTGGTTTTCTATAAGATTTTAGTAAATGATAAATGTCTTTAAAAGACGTGTTATTAATGGTCATCTATCTGTTCTTTTACCCACTTTCAGTGATTGACAGCTGTACAGTTGCAGTGGCTTCCAATAGTACCCCAGAGGGTGTGAGGTACATTTCCTCCAATGTGTGTGGACCACACGGCAAATGCAAGAGCCAACCTGGAGGCAAATTCACCTGCGAGTGCAACAAGGGTTTCACTGGCACATACTGTCATGAAAGTAAGTTGGCCTGTCATTCCCAATTCCTCATTCCAAAGACCTTGTGATTTCAGAGTAGAAGAAAAGAATGCTTTTTACTGGTTACTTGAGCACGGTCTTGGACCACACCCAGCTAACACTCTCATTGTTAAAAGCAACATACAAAAATACAACAAAAAGAACATTTTAATTGCAAATGCCCAATACTTATAACCAGCCTCTTACTACCTCCTTTACCAGTTATTTAGCAGGGGGACTGTTATGCATTTTAAACGCCACTTTTCAATTGTAATTTAATACTTATTGAAGGGCTAGTGTACATGGGCTTTTGAAATCCGTTAAGGTAGGTTTTGCGATATGCTTTTTTAAGCCCATACAGGTCAATCCGATTGCATGGCACACACGTACAACTGTTTTCAAACACCTGTGTGCACTGGCCATACACCTATAGATTATCTGCATATTTTCTATGGTCAGATGGGAAAATGTGCAACAGATTCCTCCCATCTACGCTAAACTGTGTGGATGGAGCAATCTCCCACTGGGCCAAGCTTCACTATCTTGCTAGTCGGCCCTGCTGAGGGAGGCAGAGCCGGCAGCTAATGACTCTGTTCAAACGAAGATTTTCTGCCCGTCTTTTTCGGTCAGCTGATTAAGGGATGCCAGCCGATGGTGGCACTTCCTGTGCCAATTTTGGCCGGTTCCTCAAAAACAGGCTGAAATTCAGTTTAGGGCCACCTTTACTCAGGTCTGCAGTAGCTCTTGAATCTCTTGAATGTGTGTATTTTGCGTTATGTTTAATTGGATGTCCTTGTTCTTGTAGATATCAATGACTGTGAAAGCAGCCCATGTAAAAATGGAGGAACCTGCATTGATGGGGTGAACTCCTACAAATGTATTTGTAGTGAAGGATGGGAAGGAACCTACTGTGAAATAGGTGAGTTTATTTGCTTATCTGGATCATTATATTTTATCCATTGTCAGACTTTGATTAGTCAGCTGTACAAAATGTAATAAAATATGTGATGGGTCTTGGATATCCTTCACAGCTGATTGGCTGTGTTGACATACTGCCCTCTGGACGGTGGCACAGTGTTGGTGCTTTTGCAGTATTGATGTCTTGGACTAATTCTCCGACAGGGTTGCAAATGACATGGAGATTTTTTTTGTGTTTTTTGTTTTAGGTTAATGTGTTTTCTCTCAAAATCAGTCAAGTTGTCTCTTACTATGGTAGGGAGTCGGGACATATATATTGTAAACCCCTCCAAGGGTAGGGGCTAATGTTCTCTATAAAGTGCTTCATAATTTGTCAGTGCCATATGAATAAATATAACAAACTTTACCAATACCTGCAGTGATGCTGTTGTCTGCAGTCTATGTCTGTATCTCACTATGTGCTGTTTGTTGCTGTTGTTTCAGACATAAATAACTGCAGTAAAAATTCATGCCACAATGGAGGTACTTGTCGGGACTTGGTTAATGATTTCTACTGTGAATGCAAGAATGGGTGGAAAGGAAAGACCTGCCACTCCCGTAAGTGTGTGTGTGTGTGTGTGTTTGTATCTGGAGCTAAAACTTTGGAGTATTCAGCGTGCTCAGCCTGATAACAATATTCTGGTTCTTACAGAGGACAGCCAGTGCGATGAGAACACCTGTAACAATGGGGGCACCTGCTACGACCAGGGGGATACATTTAAGTGCATGTGTTCTCCTGGATGGGAAGGCACCACATGTAACATTGGTAAGAGTCTGTCGAACAAGCGTCCTAGATATCCCTGTTCTTCCCTCCTATAATTTGATGGTCTTACTTTCTTATTCATATTACCCCTGATTTCTTCTGTAAATATATTAAAGCCTCTCTGTATAACAAAAACTGAAATCCCTCCCTTTTTTAGCGTTTTGTGTCCGAATGGTCTGGCATGGGAAGGGTTTCTTGGCTCTGTGCAAGATTCAACTTTCAGAAAGTTCGTGCTCAGAGGAATTTTAGGGGGGCTGGGGGTATTAGGATCATCCTTCCTAGGTGGGTATCCCGGACTGTCAAAAAAAAACAAAACCTCAATCCAAAGACTACAAAAGCGAGATTCTCCTGTTCGAGTCTCTAGTGAGAAAATTTCAATCATACCCACCCAAAACTGATTTGTGGAGGTTGTCCTTTAAATCCTTTAAAACATGGAAAATGTCTTTTTTTTTTTCCATGTTAGCTTAAAACATTGTAACAGATGGTGACCGTTTTTCTTTCTTTTTAGCACATTCAAAGTAGTCTTCTAAGTTATATAAAATTATTATTGCTTTACAGCAATACTATGTAGAACAGAAAACTGTCCTGTTGTCTCTCGACTATCTGTCTTTATTTATCATGCTTACTTTACATTGTTTTCCTCCACAGCAAGAAACAGCAGCTGTTCGCCAAATCCTTGCTTCAACGGTGGAACTTGCGTCGTCCGCGGGGACTCTTTCACTTGTGTTTGCAAAGAAGGCTGGGAAGGTCCGACATGCTCTCAGAGTAAGTCTGCTTACAGAGCTATGCTAGAAGGGGGGAGTGCTGTCCACATCTAGACAATTGGCTCATCCAGGCACCCCGTGTACCTTAAATTGAAAGCAGAAGTGGGACGCTTTTGATATGGACTTTAACATCACCTGAATCATGTTTTGCTATAACATTAAGTTACGGAGGCTCGACCTGGGCATGAGAAAGTTTCGAATGAGATAACCAGAGACAGATGTTGCCCCATGTTTTCATGGATTCTCAGCCTACAGCTTGTCTGCTTTCCCTCACTTTCATCCCTCCTACCCCCCCTCCCTTTTATACAAGTGTTCTTCCTGTGTTTGCAGTTTTATGTATGCAGTTTGATTTTAAATACGATCCACAGACCCTATATCATTTTAATTTGTGCTTCTGATTTTGTGTTTGCAGATACCAATGACTGCAACCCACATCCATGGTAAGTAAAACTAACACTCATCACTACTAACCTACAGCTACAAATCCGATTAGATATATTCCCATATCATTATATATTATATAAAATGATAATTGGAGGGGATGAATGAAAACAAGTCTACAATGGTAGCTCCCATACTGTGTTCTGAATAATTTCCTCTAAAGTAGAGCTGAAAACTATATTTCAGTTTAGGCCTGGCTGATACCTGAGTGTGTTTCTGTGCGAAAACACACATTTCCATGCAAGTCAATGATGACTGTTCATACCTTAGCATTGCGTAGGGTGGCTGCTGCGTGTTTTTGGTCCTCTAGACCTCTCTAAGCATTGAGAAATGCGCATTTGTAAAAGAAAAAACACACAGAAAAAAAATTGTGCGATAAACGTGTGGAACTGGAAACGCCTAGGTGTGAACCAAGCCTTAAGGTGGATGCAATTAGATGCTGGCACCAAAATCTAAATCTCTGCACTCAAGTCCCCAGCTCAGCCCTGTATGTATTTTTATATTTTTTCAGTACAAAGGGCCATAGCAGCCATGTTAGAACCAAAATAAACCAGGGGCCAAATGGAGTAGAAAGGGACACTTAGATTATCGAGGGCTGCATGGAATTAATAGGATGTCTTTAAATATTTTATCCTCGGGCCAGAGGACATGTTTAAAAGTGCTGAACTTTAAAAAAATATGTAAAGGCATTTATTATGGGAGGAATTATAGAACAGTCTGGTGCCTGATTTAGGTTGACGTGCCTAAACAAGTGGACTGGTGTCCTGTTGCTTAAAGCTGAAATGGCAGCAGAGTAGGAGGGGATAGAGCCAACAATCTTGTGTGATGGAAATCTCCATTCATGTGTCAAGGAGAAAAACTGGTTCGAGTGGACTGTTTCCCTAATAACTGTACACAGAATCATCTGATGTTGACCAGAGAGGCCAGATTTAAGCTGTCTATTGTAGGCAGAATTAAATGCTTGTATGCTATAGGTTACACATTGCTCTATATACAGTACTCCTTTATCCTCTTGTTTATAAACCAATGTATAGATTGGTAGCAGATTATCTGTATTCATGTAGATTTGTAACTGGCTAATACAAAATTCAAGAATATACATATATTTTATGTACACATTTAGAAGTTTTTTATTAAGCGAATGGTACTGATGCTCATTTAGGGGATGTGATGCAGTTAAAGGATATGTTCAGATTCAGTGCCGTTATTAAATGCGGTTTGCAGAACCTTTATTCTTGCTGTTGGCATTCTTTATATTTTAAAATGTTTTTGGTAGACGTCTAATGGTTATTTTATAGCCAGACAAGCATGGTCTGCTATGCAGGCAGCCCAACAATTTTTCTGTTAAGAATGTCAATTCTCGTCACGTACTTGAATTATTTCAAGTTCCGAATACAATATTAATGTGTCTGCTTACAAGGGAAACTGCAAATATAAGGTGCAGTAGAAGCTTGTGGGAGGCAAACTAATATAATGTAACTGGATTTTGAATATTTGTATTCCTAAGCAGATCTACAATGATGTGCATTTTTTTTTTTTCTAATTTTCCAGCTACAACAGTGGAACGTGTGTAGATGGGGACAACTGGTATCGATGCGAATGTGCACCTGGATTTGCTGGTCCAGACTGTAGAATAAGTAAGTATTGCTGTTGCCCATTTTAAAAATCGCACACAAAATGATGCTTCTGGCAGTGAAAACGTTGGGTTATTGGAAGTTCCCCAGCTGTTGTACTATTGTGCACTGGTCTCCCGAAGCCATTTTTTACTAACTCTTTCATAGTAACTGGGGGCCGCTGGAATCCTGGGAGAGGAAAGGCTTCATGTCTACGACATTCTTTCTCACAGAATGGTTTCTCCATGTAGGACTAACTGGTCCTCATAAAATAAGATTCAACAGTCTTCATCTATAGAATGTCCTGTCTAAATTGATCATAACTAGTCGGGTGTGTATGGGCATTTTCTCAGAATTTGTCCAGATTTTCATATAAGCTAGACGAGTAGTTGTCATGGTACAACCACTGATGTCCCCAAAGGGACAGACGTGTTCAGTATATGTAACTCTAGAGAAGACTGTCAGGGACTGCAGAATTGCTAAAGGGAACAGTCACTATGGACATGCTACATGTATGGTTGGAGACTTGCTCCAAGTCAGAGCCTGGGGACATATTACATGAGACTGCCATTACATTCCCTCCCACTACTGGCTGGTGGGCGTCCCAGAGATGCATGGCAAGCACCAAAGGGCCACAGGTTAAGCACCACGGTTGCAGATATTGTTCGTGCATGTGCCAACAGGCTTTGGGCTTGTCGATAGTGTCAAGTTTGAGACACTTAGTCTTCAACTTTTAAAGACTGCTTATATTAGTTGGTCTAATGTGTGAAAAACTAAAGAAAAATAACTCATGTTCTTTATAAGAGGCTGACTTGTTTCCCAAGCACTACAGACAGTTCTCACAAGGCCATTGCTGCATAAAGCCCTGTGCTTTATCATAAATATTGTATAATCCATTTTCATTTGAATGTTTGCTTCTGTGGGTTTTGGTGAAAAATTACAATTGTTGCTGTCTGTTGTGTAAAACCAGGCCATTAAATCGCAGCAATAGATTTTGTGTAATTATACCTTGGGAAGATCTAAACTGTAATTTCAGTCTAGCGTGGTATTCTCCGGTCCTTCATTTGAAATGGTGTTCTGTCATAAATGTTAACGCTGTCGATTTCACACCAGATTCCATGTAGAAAGCCGTACTAGTGATGATACAGCTGGGAACCTTTCACACACACACACTCATGAATAGGCCTGCTTGGATTTGGCTGTCAGCCAAGTGGGGTCTAGCTGGCGTATGGATGGCTCCATCTCTCTCTCCCTCACAGCCTGGATATGGATGTGAGAGGCAGAGGGTTGCGTGCTGGCTCTGGCAAGAATGGAAACTCTATTGTATTCATGCTTAAAGGAGAGAAAGAGATTGGGCCCCTAAAGGGAAAATTTATGAAAGTTTGAGGGTGGTGAACCATCACTTTTAGCAAAGTTTGTTTTCCTAGAAATATTGATACCACGGTAGGTATGTATTGTGTGGAAATCCATGAAAATTTAGTTGTTTTTTTTTAAAATCTTTTAACTACAATGTGTGTTGTAACTGTATATGATTGAAGCAATGTAGCAAAATAGTTAAACCACCCTGTGGCCCTTTTGAGCACCATCTTAAAAGGAACCCTGCAATGGAAGCCTGTGCCATTTACTAACACATTACTACTGGTTGATTAGTATAATCAGGTTAAGCCTATGTACACATTCCTTTTTATTTACTATTTGCTGTAGCAGTCGGAATTGATATTTTTATATATACAGGCAGACACTTTTTCTTGGGCCTCACAGACGTCACGTATAGCCACATTCATAAGATTTGTGAAGAGCTAAATGTCGTAATATCAACCAATTAAAATTCACTTTCCTGAAGTCTGAGTAGCACAACATGATTGCTATGAGCTTGTGTAAATGTGGTTCTATCTGTTTTGATTTTTGTCTTTAGATGTCAGCTATGTCCTTCCCTAACTTATTGTCCCTTTCTGAGTTTGTTGTCAGATATCATCTTCTACCTGTTACAAAGGTTACTCAATGTTGGTGTGCTCCCCTGACCACTAATACAAATAAGGCAATGTGATATTGAACTTGATTTCTTTTCTAGCATGCTTGTTTAATAAGTGGCTGATGGCTACTGGCAGCTGGACAGAGTTGGGGCTTTCCCTGATTTCATAGGCCCTGTGAAAAGGAAATGTTTTGAAATTCCTAATTTGATCGGATGTCGCATTTACCATTTTGTTTGCATTTTTTTTTTCTTTTAAGATATTAACGAGTGCCAGTCCTCACCGTGTGCATACGGAGCGACATGCGTGGATGAAATTAATGGCTACCGTTGCATCTGTCCACCTGGCCTTAGTGGTCCAAAGTGTCAAGAAGGTACTGCCAGCTGCAGCTTGCCATTACAGTATTTATAGCAGCTGTTCAAATTCTGTATTCATTTTAAAGTGGATGTATATTCCTGAAACAGTTCAAGCAAACTTATGCTCTGACCTTGAGATAGTTGATACCTGGTAGTCTAAATATTGGTGCAGCCCACAATATGGCCACTTGTGGCTTTACAGTAAACCTGTCACAAACATGGACAAGTCACTTGGACAACTGTTCTGTGACTACTCCGTTTACTTTGGAGAGATTTCCTTGCAACTACTGGACTGTAAGTAAAAGGGAAATTCCTGGTATAACCTGGTAGGGTTTTAACCCTTCCCTGCTTCATCTGAAACTAAGAACAAAACATTTCAACTTTACATACACTTTAATGCTTCATAAAAGCTGTTCAAAGCTCACCGAAAACTTTGTAAATGCATGCTGTACATCCTGGTCTTTAGACTAGCAGCCCCCTTCCTCTATTCACTTTGGTGGGCAAATTATGGTCCACCAAGGTGTATTAATAAACTTGCTGTTGGAGCACCATTTATTCTGTAATCATGGACCTGTAACCGCATGTTTTACCTGAAAGTGACAATAGCACTTCTTGACCTGGAAAATGTCTGCTAGTTCTTGATGAGAAGGCCTAATCTCACACTAGTATTTTTGCAGTTACAGGAAGGTCTTGTAATATCAATGGACATGCTACGCAAGATGGAGCCAAATGGGATGATGACTGCAACGCCTGTCAATGTTTGAATGGAAAGGTTGCCTGCTCCAAGGTAAGCTCCTTATTTTAATGTCATGCAGCGTGAAGAGCAAGCTCCTTGAAAGTCTAATGAGTTTTGAGCACAGTCTAAGATGATTAAGTGTTTTGCTTTCAAATTCCGCCATTGTACATAAAAGAGCTGTCATCACTGTGTAAGGACAGGATGCATACAGGATGATAAGGCAGTACACGTCATGCCCTGTGCACACTTCTGATTGTAGAGGGACATTATGTCCTCCCTTATACTCTACCTTGCAAGGACTTTCCATACAGTTCAAAATGTTACTGTGTGACAGAACTCCATGTGAAATCACTAGTAGGCTGTATATTTACATGCTGCACTACTTAAGCAAACTGCAGATATCTGTAGCATCCAATTCTCCATGCACAGATTTCACTTCAATAAAGCAACATCTGTCATTGCTTTCATTAGACTAATTACATGAGCTTCAGAGGTTAGTGCAGTTAGAACAGCGAAAAACGTTTCTCGTATATTTTATGGAATATTCTAATACAGCTAGTATAGAGATTTTCCTTCTCTCAGCTAACTTCCACTAGTAATGTGTTACATGTAGCCCTCCCCAGCCTGGTTGATGACAGCACAGAACAAAGGTTGGCGCTCAGCTGTAGAGCCACTGTAAATACATTGCCAAATATGTCAAATTGTAGCAGACATTTGTGCACACTTTAGTGAATGTTTATAAGCAGCTATAAGGATAAGGTAACCTATATTTTAGGATTGTAGATAGTTCTAAACTCAATTGAGCAATGTTTTACACTGTTTATGGACCGTAAAAGCAAAGCTAATAGACTTCGAACCCATAGAGATTATAGACATTTGTTGATATTTCATTTGTAGGTGTGGTGTGGCCCGCAGCGCTGTGACTTAAACCATAAAAGTCGCAATGAATGCCCTCCTGGACAGTCTTGTGTTCCCATTAAAGACAACCACTGCTTCGTTCCTCCCTGCACTGGAGCTGGTGAATGCTGGCCTTCCAATCAGCCCCCACTGAAGACAAAATGTAACACTAATGCCAGCTATCAAGACAACAGTTGCGCAAACATCACTTTCACCTTCAACAAAGAGATGATGTCGCCGGTGAGTGAAGATGGGACGTTATGCTTTGGAAAGAGCACTGTTTGTCTTACTCTTTTAAGATGAGTTAATTTGCATTTGGCTATGTATTTGAAAGGGGGGGTCAGACATATGAAATGCCTACTGGGTGCTCGTGGAGCGGAGTGTTGCACAAACTTGTCATCTCTAAGGGAGAAATTGTGATGGGATCTGGTGTTATATATTGTAGGTCTTCAACTGATTATTTTCATCGATTAGTTGGACATTTTTTTTTATATATTCTTTTCGATTTAATCGGATAAAAAAAATGAGATACCAATTTTAATTTAAAATTAAAATACACAAATGCAGTGTTTACTTCACAACAAAACTGCATGCACAATGTTTTGCAATTGCACTGCGCTGGAATATATTGGCCTTGGGTAAATTTTCTAGAGCAGTAGTAGCATATTTTTACTGTGGAATTTCCAAAAATAAAACCTAATTTGCCTTTTGTGTGATCAGGGCCTCACTACGGAGAACATTTGCAATGAACTGAGGAATCTGAACATCTTAAAGAATGCTTCAGCTGAATATTCCATCTACATCACCTGCGAGCCATCTCCCTTGGCAAACAATGAGATCCACGTGACTATAGTAAGTACAGTTCACACTGTGGGAAAAAGCGTGTGCATACCATTCACTGGAAATATAACAAAGACATTCTGGAAGCAAGTGTCCTGTACCAATAAAAGGTTTATAACTGTGGACATTGCAGGAATCCTTGTACAGGATAGAAATCTGGACATTATAGAGGCAGATTAATCCATTACATAAAACTTTATAAAAGTTGCATAGAAAATTGATGAAAAGTGTTTAAACTGTTATAATGTTGGAGGACTAAAGATAGAATGGTCTTACCGGCTTTTTAATTTGGACAGAGCGGTACCCATGAAAACCAATTATCAATCTTTTTCCCATTCTTTTTCCCATTGTTTTGACCACTTTAAAATGTTGAATAGTGGAATGTGTATACTGTAGGGGGAATTTGTCAAAACTGGAGCCGAAGAATCGAGCAGTTGCCCGTGGCAACCAATCTGCTTCTCTCTTCAGTTTGTTTGTTCAGTTAAGGTTTGAAAATGAAAGGTGGATGCTGATTGGTTTCCATGCACAGCTGCTCTAGATTTGTCTGCTCCAGTTTTGATAAATTCCCCTAACTTTGTCACTCATCATTGTTCTTTTTAATCCTCTGCATTCATGGATACCAACGATTGTTTTCGTAAAGCAAACCAAGCCATGCCTGGATCTTGGGGGTGTATAGGGAAGTACAGTTCAAGGCACATGAGCCCTTGACCAAGGGTTTCTCACTTTGAGCTTTAAAATAATGTGCTTATGCCTCAGCATTGGTTCCTTTCAGTGGGTTAAAACATTAGAAGTCTGGCATGTAGATTTGAAACTGAAAAGCTGTGCCTTGTATGTGACCATCCTAGATGGCGCTATTTATTTTCCTACTTTTTGCCCCCCAGTCTTTGTACTGTTGTTATATAGAAAATATAAATATTTTCCCTAATAGAATGTTTTTTGTAATCGGAATTTGTTTTTCTTTCAGTCTGCTGATGAAAACGGAGATGGCAGGAATCCTGTTCAAGAAATCATTGAAAAAATAATTGACCTAGTGAGCAAACGAGATGGAAATAACACCTTCATTGCATCAGTGGCAGAAGTCAGAGTACAGACACAGGGCAAGAACACAACAGGTGAGTTTAGTAGCCATTGGGGAAGCATAACATTTTAGTGCAATAAGTATGCTCACATCCCAAAAAAAAACACCCATCTTCAGCATGTTTCAGTTTTGGAGAGAGTATGTAGGCATTGGAACAAAGATTGAAGTAGACCTTCCAATGCAAACCAAAGGTTTGCTTTTTTGCAGGCGCCCTGCCCAAACCTCAGTCTTTGTGCTCCAATGCTTTTGGGAGGACGGGTGACCTCCCTGTGGCTCATGTAAAAACTGGGAGCTTAATCCCATGAGAATGCACTCTTGCAATTTTACAAATGGGTTTTCAAAGCCAGTTGTGATCATGGCACAGCAAAAAAGTGGCATGACGTTATTTGCATTAGTTACTGCCCTTAGGACACTTAAAACACTTGATGTAGTGGGAACATAGACTGCAATATAAATCTTACAGCAGTTCTCTTTTTTTATTTTCCACTTAGAGGTGTTTTTATAGTTTTGTCAGTTGAAGAAAATCCCCCTTACTACTTGTAATAGTAGCTGTGGACAAAGTATGGGGGGGAAAATTTCCCAGTACAACTCAACTGACAGATCTCCTAAACCTTCCTAATTCTGTCCAAAGTAGGAAGAGAGAATCACTCTTGGTTTTGCCCATCCTTGTAACCGCATTAGAAGGGCATAGCAGGCATACTTCTGATGGCTTAAAGGAGAACTATGGGGGTTAAGTCTATTCCCCATAGTTCTCCTTAGGGTAACGGGAGGACACAAACTAGCGTCCTCCCGTCACCCTAGGCTCAGTATACCGCGAGCTGTAGCTGGGATGCCGGGATCCGCCCAGCTGCGTGACTGACAGCTGGCTCTGCCTATCTAAAGGCAGAGCCAGCTGTACCCGCCCCCTCTCCCGTCCATTTCGCCAGTCAGCACTGGCGGATGGGAGGGGGGAATCCAGCCCCTCTCCTGTCACGGCAGAGAGCCGTGACAGGATCGAGAGGTGAGCAAACGCCGGTATCTGTTCGCTCACCTCCCGATCTACTGAACCGACCTGTGACAGTCTCATTGTCACAGGTCGGCTAGAACTATTAGGTGAGTGGAAATCACTCACCCCATAGTTCTCCTTTTTAAGTAGAAGTGTAACATGTAGTATCGTTGTGGCACCAGGTTATACAAAGCAGTTAGCAGTATGTATAAGTCTTTTAAAACTGTATATAGCTTAATGCACATTAAAGAATGCATTGTTGTGATGCATATTGTAAAGTTATCACAGTTGGAGGTGTCTGCTATGGCACGGCAAACTATCAAGCCATGTTGGCTGTTGACTACACCATTCCAAACCCTACTGATTCTCTGCTGAAGAACATTTTTAATATGTGATCGTAAATGCTAATTGCTGCTTCTCTGCATTTTCAGATTTTCTTGTACCCTTGTTGAGCTCCATTCTGACCGTGGCCTGGATTTGTTGCCTGGTAACAGCGTTTTACTGGTGTATCAGGAAAAGGCGACAGCTCACCAGCCAAAGTCACACAGCCTCAGAGGACAACACCACAAACAATGTGCGGGAGCAGCTCAATCAGATCAAAAACCCCATAGAAAAACATGCAGCAAACAGCGTCCCTATTAAAGACTATGAAAACAAAAATTCCAAAATTGCAAAAATAAGGACACACAACTCAGAAGTGGAAGAAGACGACATGGATAAGCACCAGCAGAAAAGCAGATACGTCAAGCAGCCAGCCTACACGCTGGTAGACAGAGATGAAAAGCCACCTCTTAGCACTCCCACAAAACAACCAAACTGGACAAATAAACAGGACAACAGAGACTTGGAAACAGCACAGAGTTTAAACCGGATGGAGTACATTGTATAGCGGATGGAAGCGCTGCCATGCAGAGCTGGTGTCTGCTGTTAAGGGCTCGGGAGTCTCTAGTTCTTAAACTGTTGTGTAATATTTGAGTCTTGAGGCTATTATTTACTTAGAATCCCTATGTTAATTTAAGTTTTGACAAGCTGGCTTACACTGGCAAAGATAGTTGCTGTGGTTGGCTGGAATGCCAAGTGCTGCATTTCACATCTATGCAAAACTAGTCGAAAGTGCCCTAATGTAAATTCAGCCACAGTTGAAACATCAACAGAGACCCTCCAGAAGATACTGCATTGCCTTTCCAGTTTGCTAGCTTTTTTATTTTGTTTCCCTCCACATTTTCCACAGGCGACCACAATTATTCAGTCTCCAGAATAATTCCTTTTATTTATATTTATTATGTGTATATTTTTTTTTAATTTTTGTATATTTGTTTTTATAGCGATTTACAACTAGTTCTGTATTTGAAAGTGCCTTTGTAGCTAAAAACCACAGCAACTATCATAAAAAATTTATTATTTATTTTTTTTATTGTATTTTGTGTTGGGGGACGGGGGAGGGGTGGGCAAAACTGTCAGCTGTTGCTGGTAAAATGAAGAATTGTCATGTAGACATTTTTTGTATAGACCTGTAAATAATTCCTTTTTTTTTTTTATTAATCACTGTGTATATTTGATTTATTAACTTAATAATCAAGAGCCTTAAAATATCATTCCTTTTTATTTATATGTATTTGTTTAGAGTTGAAGGTTTTTGATAGCTTTGTAAGCTCATGGCTTAATTTTTTTTTTTTTTTTACTTTTTGAATTCCTTTCATGTTACATGTTAACTGTATGCCAAAATTTACGGTGTTCAAGAATAGTTTTATTTTTTAAAAAAAGATAAAATAGGAGGGGCACACTTGCCTTGATGCTGTTTTTTGTACAATGTCAAATGTTAAACAACTTTATATAGTATCACTTAAAAAAAAACAAAAAACTTTTTTGTAAATTCAGCCTGAAACGGTTTTTTCAGAGGTAGAGTTTAGAACAACAAGTTTAGAACTTTGCTGCTTTGGCTTTGATATAAACAAATAAAATTCAAAAATGGAAAAAAAATATATATCGCTGTGACCGGCAGGTATTCTGCTACAAGGCAGTTCAAGGGAACATGTTGAGCTATTTCATGTACAAGAATTGAGAGTGCATGTAAGAAAAAAAAAAAAAAAGAATTAAAAAAAAAAAAAAAAAAAAAAAAGCATGTTTT